CTGCAGGAGCAGGTAGTGCCTAGCAGCTCTGAAGGTGCAGGGGTATGATGGCCCTCCCTGAGGGTGGCCATGGGTGTGCTCCCCTTCCCCCAGGCTGTGATCAGCATGACATGTCACAGTACTGCACCATGCACTTTGCTCCTGCCTGCCCTTCCCTGTGTGTGTTGGACCCTCACAGCACTCACCTGATGTTCCCTCCCCGGTGTCCGAAGTTGCCTGGGAGGCCTCCTGCGCCTGAACGTCAGGCTCCTGGGTGCTCCGGGTGCTGTTCTCCTCTTCCTCCTCCTCCTTTAGGAGCTCCGAGTTCTCAGGCTGCTGTTGCAGCCGCTGCTGAGCAGGGGGCTCCAGCCTAGACTCTACCAGCTGCTCAGGAGGCAAGGGTTCCCCTGGCCCCAGGATCCTGTCCAGCTCCTCTAAATATGCATAGGTGTGTGCTGTTTCCCCGGAGTGGGAGCTGCCCTCATGGGCCCTGATGTACCCCTGCCTGAGCTCCTTGACTTTGGCCCTGACCTGCGGTGCTTTGTGGGGGTCGTGGCCTTTCCTGGCCAGGCTGTCAGCCATTCAGCTGTAGATGTCAGAGTTCCTGTGCCTGCTCTGAGGGAGCTGAAGAGCCTCCTCCTTGGCCCACAGCTCCAGGAGGGCTTTCATTTCTGGCCCTGACCAGGAGGATGCCCACCATTTGGTGCCCCTGGCTTCCCGGGGGGATGAGTCCCTGGAAGGGCCAGGGAGGTTTTGGGGGGCTTGTCCCTGGGACATGGCTCACCACACAACAGAGCTCCACCATCAGGGTCCTCTCTGGCGGTGGCTTGTTGCCAGAGTGCTGCTCCTGGGTGCCTGTGCCTTTTAAAGATGGCTGCAGGCAGGAACAATAGAGTTGAAAGCCATGGCAGGAGTGTCCACCAGGGATTCTTCCTGGAGGCCTTTTCTGTCGACATAGCTTCTCCCCTGCATCCACACCTGCCTTTTGTCGACATAACTATGTCGACGAAGGAGTTATTCCTCATGGAATGAGGTTTACAGCCGTCGACAAAACTGCTGAGTTATGTCGACATTATGTTGGCATAACTCAACGGCAGTGTGGACGCAGGTTTAGTTTTGTTAACAAAAGTGGACTTTTGTTGACAAAACCCTGTAGTCTAGACACACCCAGAGAGTGGTGAGGGAATCTGTGTTGGCACATGGCAGCTGAAGCGAACTATAGTGAAAAAAGGAAACGGGCATGGGACTGGCATCATCATCCAGTTTCTCCTCCTAGTCTTAACTCCCTTCTCTCTCCTTGTCCCTATCTTTCAAATCCTGCTATCCCTTTTCCATTTCTAACATCCCCCACACACCCTGGTTTCCAGTCCGTAGTTAAGGAGCTGGCTTTTTTATAGTTGCTGACATACGCTATGTAATCTTGTTGCTGTCTCTGCCAAAGGCAGTTTGGGATTGCCCTTTCCAATATTGTCTTGAAAGCCTAAGTGTCTATTTGTACCTAAAGGAGAGGCATGTTTTGAAGACATGGGCATAATTACAAGGCGTGGTAGCACCACAAGCCTGTCTCACAGCCTCCATGTCTGGAAAGGCCTGTTTATAACTCTGCTATCTCTCCCTTACACATCTAAAGAAAACTTTATTCATTTTACTGTTGAAAGCACAGAGGGGCAAGGGGCATGCTACCAGCTATGCCAAGGCCAAGAGGGGCAGCAGCATTTGGTCATTCCAATGGCTGCAAAACACCCCTGTGTGTCTTTCTCTGCCTCATTGCTAGCCCCACATTTGGTGCAGCTCAAACTACTTGACTATTCCCCCCAGACTGCCCAATCCCATAAACCACCAGAATTGGCCCTCTTCTGGCAGCTCTGCAGGTGAGAGGCCAGGAAGTGGCTGAATCTCTGCCTTGCCTATTCAGATTTCCTCCTCTGCTCTTCCTACAATCTTTCTTGTGAGGCTGAATGATAGGAGAGTGCTGAGATACCATCCAGGCAGGAAAAAAAAATCAGTGGATAGGGGAAAAGCAGAAGCCACTCACTCCTCTCTTAGTGTATGTCTACACTGCCACCCTAGTTCAAACTAGGGTGGCTAATGTAGGCATTCGAACTTGCAAATGAAGCCCAGGATTTAAATATCCTGGGCTTCATTTGCATGTTCCTGGGCGCCGCCATTTTTAAATGCCCCGTATTCAGACTACCTGCCCGCGGCTACACGCGGCACGGACTAGGTAGTTCAAATTAAAGTTCCTAATTCGAACTACCATTATTCCTCCTGCAAGGAGGTTTAATGGTAGTTCGAATTAGGAGCTTTAATTCGAACTACCTAGTCTGTGATGTGTGTAGCCGTGGGCAAGTAGTTTGAACTACGGGTCATTTAAATATGGTGGCACCCGGGAACATGCAAATGAAGCCCGGGATATTTAAATCCCGGGCTTCATTTGCAAATTCGAATGCCTACATTAGCCACCCTAGCTTGAACTAGAGTGTAGACATACCCTTAGGGAGTTTGGGAGGGGAAACCAGGGTGAGGGAGGGATGTTGGAAGTGGAAAAGGTATAGCAGGGTTTGAGAGACAGGGAGAAAGAGGGAAGAGAGCTAAGGCTAGGAGGAGAAAGAAGGCTGATGTGGAGATGTGTGTGAAGGGACAGGAAGCAGACAGAATGAGGGGAGGGCCGTGAGGGCCTTGATTTGGTCGAAGGAGAGGACAGGCTATAGGATATGATGGTGAGGAGGGGAACAGTGGGAAGGTGGGATGGTGAGGAGGGGAACAGTTGAATGAAGGAATCACTAGAGATATTTCAGGGTGGGAAGGAGAATTTTGGCGGGGGGATGACTGGCGTTTGGAAGACTCTGTTGGGTGGGAAAAGAGGGGACTCAAGTTTTTCAGTGAAGGAAGAGGAGAAGCATGGCACGAACCTGAAGGAAGTTGCTGGGAGCCCAGATGAGACTCATGCAGGCATCTGGCCAACAGGATCCCAAGGAGGCCAGATAATGAGCAACAGCAGCAAAGTAAGTAGAGCTGGCTTGGGAAATTCAGCACCAGTGAAAATATATAGGCAAATGGAAACCAAATTCTGTATTTTTTCCCCTTTTCCTGCCCTTATCTTCTGACTTGCTCTTAAAGTCAGTGATCGTGATGGGAGGAAGTGAAAGCGCATGGAAAATGGATGGAGAGCACATTAGGCTTCTGGGAGTGGAGCTGGGAAGGTGTTTTATTTTCCCAATTCTCTCCCTTGCCTTGGGGCTGTGCATATCCATCTGAACAGGTTTTATCCTAATGCCACCAGGCTTCTCATTTAGGGGCTGCTCAGTCTGCTCCCCATCAAAGTCCCAACGGAGCGGAGTAAGGCTGGTGCCCTATACCTGGCATACCAGTGACCAAATGCTGGAGCAGCTCAGTGATTGTGATCAAAACACCTAGCCAGTGAGTTAGGCCAAAAGAGATAGACAGAATGGGTAGCATGGATATATTGGCTTACATTTTCCTGTAGCCAATAAGGTCCTGATTCAAAGCCCACTGAATACTTCCATTAGCCTCAGTGGGTTTTGGATCAGCCCCTAAGTATAATTGTCCTCTAGGTCCACATGCATGAGCCTCCATTCTCCTAGCAGACACCTGGCCTGGCACTGTATTTCATAAATAGCAATCAGAATTCCAGCTGTGGAGATTTAATAATGATGCCTTTGCTCTTAACTCCAGTAGGTGTTGTGAGGATTAGTTGTTCTTTGCAAAGATCCTTTGGAGATAAAGCACCATGTGAATGCTAAGGAACAATGCCAAGGATTTTTTCTCAGTTAAATCTATTCACGCTGATCGTGCAATAGCTTATTTTTCAGCTCAGTTATTTGACAGGAAAAAGAGATCGGAGGCAGGGGTTGGTGTGGAAAGGGTTTCTTTTGCTGATGCTTTAAGTAAAGAGGAAGTGGGAAAATGGGTTATCTTTGGTCACAAAGCTTATGTTTCCATCTTTTGAGACAGCTTTGCCACCAGAGGGTTTAAAAGGTCTCTGCAGCTTGCTTTTCTTTTCATTGTCACTGATGACAGATCAACAGACTCTTAAGAGGACTGGTCAGCCTGGATTGCAAAAGAATTGCTACAATCACCAGATGTCTCTGTGAACAAGGAGCGAACTTTGCAGGCTCCTCTGCAACAATCCCTTCTGGCTGATGGGGGTATCGAGAGCAGCTGTCTCACTTTACAGGTATGTCTCTACATTGATAAGTTAAGTTCAGTTTCAGAGCATGCCCCTTTGAGAATAGCTGTCATTGGACCACATTGCCTGAAAATGCCCTTATATATGTAATGTCATCTTCCGCAAAAAGTTGCTCACCTCATGTTTCTTGTCTGTGAATTGCATATTTGCTAGGGCAAACTTTAGGAAATACTAAAACACATTTTTGAAATGCTTCTAAAATGAGGTTCCATACATGTTAATGCATACTATTTTGCTGTATTTTATAATGACAAGAGTTATATATGTATGTGTGTATACAGCTAATATAATATATATACCTCAGTGTATGCAAATCATTGTGCAGCTTATCGTGACTGTGTGTGTATGTGTACTGTAGTTAGTATTGCCAACAGTCCCATATTATAAAGGACATCCCTTACTGAAATAGAGAATTGTCTGCCCAATACTAAATCCTTGTGGATCAACTTTTATCCCAAATGTCAACAGCAGTAATCGCAAAGACATTTTTTCACTTCCCTCCTATCCTGACCCATGAGCATGGTCTTGTTTGCTTTCCCCATGCAGCACTGACAGGTCAGAGTCAGGAGGGGATGCACTTGTGAGTACTGTCTCCTTGCTGGACAGGGACTTGTGCTGAATCCAACTCTTCTGCACAGTCCCCTCTGCTCTTCCTGTGCAATCTGTGTCTGGCCGGGCAAATGGACTAAGCTGTATGCTCTGCATCTGTGCTGATGAGCCAGAGTCTGATTCACTCTGGCTGGGGTGGGGCAGTCGGTACTTCCAGGGTGTAGCCTCCTTGCTCACAGAGTCTCTGCCAATGTCCCCAGCAGAGCAGCATAAACACTAGTTGGTTGGATGCTGCAGCTGTAGCTGTGGGGAACAAGATGCACAGGAAGCTTGGTCCTGGCAGTGGAGACGACCCACACAGAGCCCTGTCCACATCCCCTGCCCCATCCCGACTCCTACAAAGATTTCTTCATCCCTGTACAACAAGATCAGGAGTTGCCGAGTGCAGCAAAAGCAGCAAGAAATATCCTTGGCAATTGTAGGTGAGCACTAATTATTATTAAGTGGTAAACAAGGATGCTAAGAACACAGTCCCTTGTTTTTGAAATACAGTATTGTCAGTGCTAACTATGGTATATACTATAGATACACCTAATTCTATTCATATATGTGTGTGCATTACATAGAGTGTGTGTTTAAAATTTAAGCAATTATGATATAATGCCAAATAGTAAAAATACTGAGATGTACATTACAGCAATTATTATATTTTAGCTTATCAGTAAATTTGATAAGGATGTTTATGCAAATAATTAGTGATTTTTGTTTGATGCACAAGTCCAGGTTCAGCCGAACCCCTAGACAACAAAAGCAAAATGGCATTACAGTTAGTACAATTGTACCAAACTGTGGACAAATAGTTAGATAATCATTTTCTTCTTTTTGTGTCCCTAATTAATTGAGACAGCTATTATATCATACTTTCTGAAAAACTTCTAATTTGTAATAACTTCAGGTGTTTTTATCATCTGATTCTCTTTAACAACCAAGTAGTAATAAAGATAATTAATTTTAATGCTTGCAAAAATGTAATAACAGCAGTGAATTACAGTAATTAATGCAAAATAACTCTTTGGTTAGTTTATTGCATTGTTTAAGCACGACTTACAACATTCATCATTTTTACTGCTAGGAAAATAGCGGTGGAGGTTTTTCTCTATTCTATTATTATGTTTTGAAAATACTCACGGCATAACTGATAGTTATGATACAGAAATATGTCAATGGTTTGATCTAAAGAAATAGCCAGTTCTCCTCTTCAGTTTATGTAAATCAGTATAATTCCATTGACCAACTCTGATTTATATCAACAATCAATCTGGGCCATGTCTTTCATAAAAATCATAGCAGTTTGAGTTGTTACACATGTACTAGGTCAACTCTTCCATGCCTTGATGGTACAGGGATTTCCCTGACAGTATGCTTCCTTGTGATCTGTCCTGCCTAGTTTGAAATGTTTCTTTGTCTACAATAATTCTTCACATATTGTTCTTGACTTGTTTTAAACCCCTTGGGACTTCATATGCTGCCAGAAGAGTCTCTCATAAGGCAAGGGTTATTTTATTTATTCTAGTCTTCTCTTGTACCTTTTTTTGTTTGCAAAAGCAAAGCATCTTTCAAGGAAAAAAACAAACAAACAGGAGACTTTCCTTTTTCATGTTTCAGTGTATGTGTGAGGAGGAAGATGTTATTTTCTGGTACACGGTACGGATGGGAAAATCCTCCTGTGCATAATAAAAGGCTTTATGCTGAAGGGTGTTGTCTTTTCTTCAGAGCCCAATACTTCAGAGCCACAGTACTTGAAATATTCAGGGAAGAGGGGAATCTCTATAGGAATTCTGTCACAAAAATTGGAGTCATATGAGAAGCATTTAATGGCAATCACATCCTAAGAGATATACAGGAGGCCTAGAATCTCAAGTGTGGTTTCACTGGAGCCTTGTTGCCAGGACTTCCCTCCAGCTGCCATCTTCTCTGGGATTCCCTGCAAATGAACTTGGCACCAAGAGCGACTGGTGAGGGACTGCCACAGGCCATGTGACCTCTCCTCCCCCAGTCCAGGGAAGGGCCAGAACAATCCTCCTTTGCCTCAGACTCTGCCTCTTCCTGCACCACCTCACTCATGCCACACCATCTGCCCACCTACTCCCCATCTCTTCCCTGCCCTTGCTCTGACCCTGCCTTGCTCTTGCCCCGTCTCTTCCCCCAACTGAGATGGCCCAGGGTAAGAGGCTGGGAGGCCCCTGCACTCACTGGCAGCAGCAGGGGAAGCAGAGCAAGGCAGCCCCAACTCACTCTACTCCTCCAGCCACATTGTTACTTCCTGCTGGGAAGTGTGGGGCAGTTCTACCCCTTTCCCTGAGCGATGCACTAGGAGAACAAAGCAGCTCAGTAGTTCCTAGAATTTGGAGGGGAGGTCTGCTGACACTACTAGGAAGAAGGTGCAGGGGAAGTTTATCATGGAAGAACTGTCTCAAAGGCTCCCATGCCAAGAATCTCTCTCCTTCTTTGGAGTGTGCACAAGATCTGTCTGAGGGAAATGGTTTTTAGTTAGGAGAAGAGAACACTGAGGGTATGTCTACACTAGAGAGCTTTGTCAGAAAAACAGCTGTTTTCCGACGAAATTTGAGGAACACTGCAATCGCGTTCTTCAGCAAGAAAATCAAAAGAACAGAGGGGGCTTTCCAGCATTAGTCATCTTCATTCCATGAGGAAGAAGCCTTTTTGCAAAAGAGCTCTTTCACGAAAAGATGTGCATGGATGGGGAAGAGGGAGTTCTTTTGGAAGAAGAGGAAGGAGGAAAAAGCACAGGTGCCCTAGTGTCCATTCTGTCCATTGCAATCAGAGCTTATATTTGAGAGTGTCCATTCAGTCTGAATGCTCCTTTTGAAAAAGCAGATTGCTTTTCTGATGTGTTTTTGCAGTATGGATGTTCTCTTTCAGAAGAAGTTTTTTCGGAAGATCTCTTCCGAAAAAAGCTTCTTCCAAAAGAAGCCGGTAGTCTAGACATAGCCTAAGAGGGGTGAGGGTAACAGGTTTCAAGGAGGAGGGAGAAAACTTGTTCTTGTTAACCTGTGAGGACAGGCTATATAGCAAGTGGGTGAACATTTGGCATTCGGAAGAACTTCCTAACTGTCAAGGTGGTTAAGCCCTGGAATAAATTGCCTAGAGAGGTTGTCGTATCTCCATTTTAACAGGAGGTGAGACAAACACCTGTCAGGAATGGTCTAGATCGGTGGTCACCAACCAATCGATCACGATCGACTGGTTGATTGGAGGGCTCGACCAGTCAATCACGAGGCATTTGGGGCCCTCCCATTTCTCCCCACTCTCAAGAAGCCCCACTACTTACCTCCAGTGACAATGGAGGTAGTGCCAGCTTCCTGCGGGGTGGAAGGAAGTCCGGCAGCTACACGCCACTTCCTGGATTTAAGGAAGTGTGCTCACTGCTCCACCTCCTCCAAACAATGGGCACGGTACCACAACCGAGGTCTGTGGTACGCCAGGGACTTGCTGCGTGGGGGGGGGAGGAGTAGGAGTTCCCAGAGGAGGCACGCGCTGGGGCTTCCCTCCTCTGCAGGGGAAGGGGAGGAGTCCTGGGAGGAGGCTCATGCTGGGGTTTCTCTTCTCGGGGGGCGGAGGTGAAAGGGAGAGATGTCCCTGGAGGAGGTGCGCACTGGGGCTTCCCTCCTCTGGGGGGAGGATGGGGTAGGAGTCCTGGTAGGAGGTGCCTGCCGGGGACTCCCTGTCTCCTACCCCCACCAACACGCTGTCACCTGTCCCCACTGGCACCCTGTCCCCTGCCTCAGAAGCTTGTCACCTGCCCCCACTGGCATACTGTACCAACTAGCACCCACTGGCACCCTGTCCCCTGCTGCAGAACCCTGTCGCCTGTCCCCACTGGCACCTTGTCCCCTGCCGCAGAACCCTGTTGCTGTCTCCACTGGCATCCTGTCCCCACTGGCACCCTGTCCCCTGCTCCCACTGGCACCCTGTCCCCTGTCGCAGAACCTTGTCCCCTGCCCCAGCACCCATTAGCACCCTTCCCCAGTACAATGTCCCCTGCTTCCACCAGCACAATTGGGGCCACATTAGTGAGGCTTGAGGAGCGGGTGGGGGTTGTAGGAGTTATTTTTTTGCATCTCAGTTGTGTGGCCCCAACTGACTTTTCTGTGGGTCAGTGTGGCCCCCTGTCCCCTGCTGCAGAACCCTGTCGCCTGCCCCCACTGGCACCTTGTCCCCTGCCGCAGAACCCTGTTGCTGTCTCCACTGGCATCCTGTCCCCACTGGCACCCTGTCCCCTGCTCCCACTGGCACCCTGTCCCCTGTCGCAGAACCTTGTCCCCTGCCCCAGCACCCATTAGCACCCTTCCCCAGTACAATGTCCCCTGCTTCCACCAGCACAATTGGGGCCACATTAGTGAGGCTTGAGGAGCGGGTGGGGGTTGTAGGAGTTATTTTTTTGCATCTCAGTTGTGTGGCCCCAACTGACTTTTCTGTGGGTCAGTGACCCCCTGACTCAAAACAGGTTCCCCGCCCTTCTCATAAATAAAGACAACGCTGAAACTTTTTGTGTTTGGCAATATTTTATTTAAAAATGAAGCTTGGCCAACAAACCCCCAACTGGGTCCAAGCCCCCATCTGGCCACAGCATCACAACACTCCTGCACCCCCTCCCCAGGCCCTAGATCATATACTGGAACCCCCTGTCCTGAGCCTCTCCCATCCCCAAACTCTTGCACCCCCACATCCTCAGTCTTTTTCCACAACACTTTTGCACCATCCACAGACCACAGATCTGTGTCCTGAGCTCATCATATTCCCAACGTCCCTGCCCTGAGCCCCTCACATACCCCAACCCAAACTCCTGCACCCTCACATCCACAAGCCTGTGGCTTTCTCAGTACCCCAACCCGCCACCTGACACCAACACTTCCCAGCCTGGAGCCCCCTCCCTGAGCCAGCATCCCCTTCTCCACCTCCTCCTGCATCCAAATTCCCTCCCAGAGATTGCACCTCTCACCCCTTCCCATACTCAAATCCCTCACTCCCACTCCAGAGCCCACACATCCTATCTCAACCCAGTGAGGGTATGGCTAGACTGCAGGAGTTTTTCCAGGATTCCAGAGGTGTCCCAGAAAAACTCTTCCACATCCAGGGATGAGATTGTTCTTCTGCTTTTTTTTAGTGGAAGAGAAACATGCTCTTTTGGTAACCTCTGTATTCCTTGTTCCACGAGGAGTAAGGGGGCTTCCGAAAGAAGGTGTTTTTCTAACATTTGGCCCAGTCTAGACAGGCCAAAAGTTGGAAAAACCTCTTCCTACAGAAGAATTGGGGGAAAAAGCAGCAATGTAGCTGTACCCTGAGAGTGTAGCTGGGGATAGCAAGTGATGGAGAGGAGAACAGAGGGTGGGGCTTCAAGAAAGGGGTGGGGTCTCAGGGGAAGGATGGGGCGGTAGATCTTGGCTTGTTCTGACATTTA